CGGGTGGGGACAGGACGCGACCAAGATGGCAGCGGGAGGGGAAAGGCGCCACCTGGCGGGCGGGAGGTGGTGGATGCGGGGTAAGGGATCGGGATGGACCAGTACGGACCAGTATGGACCGGTATGGACCGGTATGGACCAATATGGACCAGTATGGACCAGTACGGACCAGTATGGACCAGTATGGACCGGTATGGACCAGTATGGACCAGTATGGACCAGTATGGACCAGTACGGACCAGTATGGACCGGTATGGACCGGTACGGACCAGTATGGACCAGTACGGACCAGTATGGACCAGTATGGAGCGGTATGGACCAGTATGGACCAGTACGGACCAGTATGGACCGGTATGGACCAGTACGGACCAGTATGGACCAGTACGGACCAGTATGGACCAGTATGGACCAGTATGGACCGGTATGGACCAGTACGGACCGGTATGGACCAGTATGGACTGCTAGAGACCAGTACGGACCAGTACGGACCAGTATGGACCAGTATGGTTTGCTAGAGACCAGTACAGACCAATATGGACCAGTATGGACTGCTAGAGACCAGTACGGACCAGTATGGACCAGTACAGACCAATACAGACCAGTATGGACTGGTATGGACCGGTACGGACCAGAATGGACCAGTACGGACCAGTACGGACCAGTACGGACCACTATGGACCGGTATGGACCGGTACAGACCAGTATGGACCAGTAGAGCCCAGTAAAGACCAGTATGGACCAGCGTAGCCTAGTACAGCCTGGTGCGGACCAGTATGGATTGGTACACACCAGTACAGACTGGTACGGACCAGTACAGACCAGTATGGACCAGTACAGCCTGGTAAAGACCAGTATGGACCAGTATGGCCCGGTACAGCCAGGTGCAGACCAGTACGGACCAGTATGGACCAGTACAGCCCAATACAGAACAGTACAGCCCAATACAGTTGAGTACAACCTGGTACAGACCAGTACGGACCAGTATTAACCAGTAGAGAGCGGTCCAGCCCAGTACAACCCAATACAGCCCAGTACAGCCCAGTACAGAGCTGTACAGCCCAGAACAGCCCTGTACAGACCAGTAAGAGCAGTACAGCCCTCTACAGACCAATACAGAGCAGTACAGACCAGTAAAGCCCTACAGAGCCCAGTAAAGACCAAAACAGACCAGTAAGACCAGTACAGCCCTATACAGCCCAGTACAGCCTGGTACAGACACGAACAGCCCAGTACAGACCAGTACATCCCGGTCCCTCGCCCCAGTGCTCCCAGCACCCCCAGTCGCAGCCCTGGCTCCATGCCCTCCATCGGCAGAGCTCGGCTCGACCTGGCTCCATTCAGGTCTGTTCGGCTGCGGTAGGTTCGGGTCGGGTCCGTTCGGGTCGGTTCAGGTCTGTTTGGGAGCGGGTCGGGTCGGTTCGGGTTGGTTCGGGTTGGTTCGAGGTCTGTTCGGGTTGGTTTGGGGTCGGTTTGGGTCGGTTCGGGTCGGTTCGGGTCGGTTCGGGGTTCGGGTCGGTTTGGGGTCAGTTCGGGTCGGTTCGGGGTCAGTTCGGGTCTGTTTGGGGTCGGGTCGGGTCGGTTTGGGTCTGTTCGGGGTCGGTTCAGTTCGGGTCGGGTCGGGGTCGGTTTAGGCCGGTTCGGGTCGGTTTGGGTCTGTTCGGGGTCAGTTCGGGCCTGTTCGGGGTCAGTTCGGGTCTGTTCGGATCGGTTCGGGTCAGTTCGGGTTGGTTCGGGGTCAGTTCGGGTCGGGTCGGGGTCTGTTTGGGTCGGTTCGGGGTCAGTTCGGGTCTGTTCGGCTCGGTTCGGGTCTCCTCGGCTCTTCCCGGCCTCTCCCGACTCTGTTCGGGTCCATTCGGCTCGGTTCGGCTGTGCTCTGCCTGCCGGCTCGGTTCGGCTCGGGTAGGCTCAGTCCGGCTCGGTTCGGGTGTACTCGGCTCTGCTTGGCTCGGCTCGGCTCGGGTGTGCTCGGCTCTGCCTGCCGGCTCGGCTCGGTTCGCCTGTACTCGGCTCAGTTCGGGTGTCCTCGGCTCTGCCTCCCGGCTCGGCTCGGTCCGGCTGTGTTCGGCTGTGCTCGGCTCGGTCCGGCTGTACTCGGCTCGGTTCGGGTGTGCTCGGCTCTGTTCGGCTGTACTCGGCTGTGCTCGGCTCTACCCCCCCGCCCCGTCCCGCTCCCCGCAGGCGCGGACTCAGCGGCGCCGCCCGCTCCGGGCGTTATCGGGGCCCGGGACCCCCCGCGGTGACGCAATCAGCGCCCGCCCAATCACCATCGATCACCCGCCAATCACCATTGATGGCCATCGATCACCCGCCAATCACCATCGATCGCCATCAATCACCCGCCAATCACCATCGATGGCTATTGATCACCCGCCAATCACCATCGATCGCTATCGATCACCCGCCAATCACCATCGATCGCTATTGATCACCCGCCAATCACCATCGATCACCCGCCAATCACCATCGATCACCCGCCAATCACCATCAATGGCCATCAATCACCCGCCAATCACCATCGATCACCCGCCAATCACCATCGATGGCCATCGATCACCCGCCAATCACCATCGATCACTATCGATCACCCGCCAATCACCATCGATCGCTATTGATCACCCGCCAATCACCATCGATGGCCATCGATCACCCGCCAATCACCATCAATGGCCATCAATCACCCGCCAATCACCATCGATCGCCATCGATCACCCGCCAATCACCATCGATCGCCATCGATCACCCGCCAATCACCATCGATCGCTATCGATCACCCGCCAATCACCATCAATGGCCATCAATCACCCGCCAATCACCATCGATCGCTATTGATCACCCGCCAATCACCATCGATCGCTATCGATCACCCGCCAATCACCATTGATCGCTATTGATCACCCGCCAATCACCATCGATCGCTATCGATCACCCGCCAATCACCATCGATGGCCATCGATCACCCGCCAATCACCATCGATCGCTATTGATCACCCGGTGCCGGCGGCGCTTTGATGTGCAAAGGGACCGGAGCTAGGGGAACAGGGGGGTGAGGGGGGTGCAGGGGTGGATGTGGGGGTACAGGGATGGATGTGGGGTGCAGGGATGGATATGGGGGTGCAGGGATGGAGATGGGGGTACAGGGGTGGATATGGGGGTGCAGGGATGGATATGGGGGTGCAGGGATGGATGTGGGGGTGCAGGGATGGATATGGGGGTACAGGGGTGGATATGGGGGTGCAGGGATGGATGTGGGGGTACAGGGATGGATGTGGGGGTGCAGGGATGGATATGGGGGTACAGGGGTGGATATGGGGGTACAGGGATGAATATGGGGGTGCAGGGGTGGATGTGGGGGTGGAGGGATGGATATGGGGGTGCAGGGATGGATGTGGGGGTACAGGGGGGATATGGGGGTACAGGGGGGGATATGGGGGTGCAGGGATGGATATGGGGGTGCAGGGGTGGATGTGGGGGTGCAGGGATGGAGATGGGGGTGCAGGGATGGATATGGGGATACAGGGATGGATGTGGGGACAGAGGGATGGATATGGGGGTACAGAGATTTCGGGGTTCACGGGGGGGGTGTCCCCCTCCCCTCCCCCCATCACCCATCACCTTGGGGGTCCCCCCACATCCTCTTTATTGGGTACCACGGTGTGGGGTGTGTGGGGGGGGGTCCCAAACGTCAACGTAACGCGGGGGGGGCGGCATCAGCGGGGTGGCTGAGCCAGACGTCAAAAACGCTCTTATTGGGGGGGGGCCCGGGGCTATGGGGGGGGGCCAAGGGGGGGCTGTTGGGGGGCAGCACCCCCCAGCGCAGAGCCAGCACGGGGGGGCCGTCGGGGGCAGCCACGGCGTTGGGGGCCACGGCGGTGCTGTAGGAAGTGGGGAGCTGCCCCCAAGGAGGAGGTTGGGGGGGGGGGGGGGGACGGGACCCATAGCGGGGGTGGGGGGGGGTCGCTCAATAGGGAGGCGATGGAGAAAGAGCTGCGGGGGGGAGGGGGGGGTGGTGGGGGGGAGGAGGATGGGTTTTGGGGGGGGGGGCGGCATCCGCGGAGGATGAAGGGGGTGAGGTCGGGGGGGAAGGCGGCAGCGCCCCCCCGCGCCACGGGGGTGTTCTGCAGGCGCAGCGCGCCCGAGGGGATGCGGCTCAGGTCGACGGTCCAGAAGTTGCCCTTGGCCTGGGGGCGGGAGGGGTCCTTGAGAACCTGGGGGGGGAGAGGGGGGAAAAAGGGGGTGAAATGGGGGAAAATGCGGGGAAATAACGGGAAAATGGGGGAAAACTGAGGGGAAATGGGGAAAATACCGGGGAAATAACGGGAAAATGGAGAAAAACTGCGGGGAAATGGGGAAAACTGCGGGGAAATAACGGGAAAATGGGGGAAAATGGGGAAAAACTGACCTGGGAAATGGGGAAAAACTGCGGGAAAATGGGGAAAAATACCGGGAAATACCGGGGAAATAGGGAAAATATAGGGAAAATACCGGGAAAATGGGGAAAAACTGCGGGGAAATGGGGGAAAACTGCGGGAAAATACCGGGAAAATGGGGAAAATACCGGGGAAATACCGGGAAAAACTGCGGGAAAATACCGGGGAAATGGGGGAAATACCGGGGAAATGGGGGAAAAACTGCGGGAAAATGGGGAAAACTGCGGGAAAATACCGGGAAAATGGGGAAAAACTGCGGGAAAATAACGGGAAAATGGGGAAAAACTGCGGGAAAATACCGGGAAAATGGGGAAAAACTGCGGGAAAATAACGGGAAAATGGGGGAAAACTGCGGGAAAATACCGGGAAAATGGGGAAAATGCAGGGAAAATGGGGGAAAACTGCAGGAAAATACCGGGAAAATGGGGGAAAACTGCGGGAAAATGGGGAAAATACCCGGGAAATGGGGAAAAATACCGGGAAAATGGGGAAAAACTGCGGGAAAATGGGGAAAAATATAGGGAAAATGGGGAAAATACCGGGAAAATGGGGAAAACTGCGGGAAATGGGGAAAAATACCGGGGAAATGGGAAAAAACTGTGGGACAATGGGGAAAAACTGCGGGAAAATGGATCGAAACAGCAGGAAAATGGGGAAAATACCGGGAAAATGGGGAAAATACCGGGGAAATGGGGAAAATACCGGGAAAATGGGGAAAATACCGGGAAAATGGGGAAAAACTGCGGGAAAATGGGAAAAAATACCAGGATAATGGGGAAAATACCGGGATAATGGGGAAAATACCGGGGAAATGGGGAAAAATACCAGGAAAATGGGGAAAAAAAAATCGGGAAAATGGGGAAAATGCAGGGAAAATGGGTGAAAATACCGGGAAAATGGGGAAAATACCGGGAAAAGGGGGAAAAACTGCGGGAAAATACCGGGAAAATGGGGAAGCGGGAATGGAAATGGGGGAAATATAGGGGAAATGTGGGAAAATATCTGGAAAATATAGGGAAAATGGGGAAAAATACCGGGAAATTGTGGAAAATACCGGGGAAATGGGGGAAAACTGCGGGAAAATGGGGAAAATACAGGGAAAATGGGGAAAAATACCGGGAAATTGGGGAAAATACCGGGAAATTGGGGAAAATACCGGGGAAATGGGGGAAAACTGCGGGAAAATACCGGGAAAAACTGCGGGAAAATATAGGGGAAATGGGGAAAATACCGGGAAAATGGGGAAAATGCAGGGAAAATCGGTGAAAATACCGGGAAAAGGGGGAAAAACTGTGGGAAAATGGGGAAAATACCAGGAAAATGGGGAAAAACTGCGGGAAAATGGGGAAAAATACCGGGCAAATGGATCAAAATTGCAGGAAAATGGGGAAGAGAGAATGGAAATGGGGAAACACGGGGAAAATACAGCAAAAATGGGGAAAGTATGGGGAAAATAAGGGGGAAATGGGGAAAAACTGCAGGAAAATGGGGAAAAATACCGGGAAAATGGATCGAAACTGCAGGAAAATGGGGAAGAGAGAATGGAAATGGGGGAAATACGGGGAAAATACAGCATAAATGGGGAAAATATGGGGAAAATAAGGGGGAAATGGGGCAAAACTGCAGGAAAATGGGGAAAGAGAACGGGAATGGGAAAAATATGGGGAAAATACCGCAAAAAAATGGGGAAAATAAGGGGAAAATAAGGGGGAAATGGGGCAAGACTGCAGGAAAATGGGGAAAAGAGAACGGAAATGGGGAAAGTATGGGGAAAATACAGGGAAAATACAGCAAAAATGGGGAAAGTATGGGGAAAATAAGGGGGAAATGAGGAAAAGAGCAGGAAAATGGGGAAAGGAGAACGGAAATGGGGAAAACACGGGGAAAATGGGGAAAATACAGCAAAAACTGGGGAAAGTATGGGGAAAATACAGGGAAAATGGGGAAAATACAGCAAAAAATGGGGAAAATAAGGGGAAAATGGGGAAAGTACGGGGAAAATAAGGGGAAAATGGGGAAAACACAGCAAAAATGCGGAAACCAGCATCAAAACGGGTGAAACACAACAGAAATGGGGAGAACAGCCAGAAACGGGTAAAACACAAGGAAAATGGGTAAATCACCCCCAAAAGTGGGTTCGGACATGTGAAAACCAGACAAAACACCCCAAAACCAGGTAAATCACAACAAAAATGGAAAGAAACACCCCAAAACCGGGTGAATCACCCCCAAAAGTAGGTTCAGACGCCTGAAAGCAGGGAAAAACACCCCCAAAATGGATAAATCACCCCAAAAGGTGGGTTCAGACACCTAAAATCTGGGTAAAACACCCCCAAAATGGGTAAATCACCCCAAAAATGGATAAATCACCCCCAAAAGTGGGTTCAGACACCTAAAACCTGGGTAAAACACCCCCTAAATGGGTAAATCACCCCCAAAAGTGGGTTCAGACACCTAAAACCTGGGTAAAACACCCCCAAAATGGGTAAATCACCCCAAAAATGGATAAATCACCCCAAGAAAGTGGGTTCAGAGACCTCAAAACTGGGTAAAACACTGCAAAAATGGATAAATCACCCCAAAAAGTGGATTCAGAGACCTCAAAACTGGGTAAAACACTGCAAAAATGGATAAATCACCCCCAAAAGTGGGTTCAGAGACCTCAAAACTGGGTAAAACAATGCAAAAATGGATAAATCACCCCAAAAAGTGGGTTCAGACACCCCAAAACTGGGCAAAACACTGCAAAAATGGATAAATCACCAAAAAAAGTGGGTTCAGAGAGTACAAAACCAGGCAAAACACCCCAAAAATGGGTAAATCACCCCCAAAAGTGGCTCAGACACCTAAAAACTGGGCAAAACACCCCAAAAATGGTTAAATCACCCCAAAAAGTGGGCACAGACCCACCAAAAAAGGGGATTATCAGCCCCAAAATGGAGACACAGCCCAGAAATGGGGATTTTGCCCCCAAAAATGGCTTCATGCACCCCAAAAATGGGTAAATCCCCCCAAAATGGACATAGACACCTCAAAAATGGGTTCAGACTTCCCCAAAAGGGTAAATCAGCCCCAAAAAAGGGAATATCGCCCCCCAAAATGGGTAAATCAGCCCCAAAATGGGGACATGCACCCCAAAAACCACGTTTATCTCCCCCAAAATGGGTTTAGATGTCCAAAAAATGGGGAGATCACCCCCAAAATGGGCTCAAAACACCCCAAAAAGCATAAATCCCCCAAAATGCAGGGACCACTCAAAAACTGAGGAAACCGACCCCAAAATGGGCTCAGACAGCCCAGAAATGGGTAAATTACTAAAAACATGGGGAAATTGCACCAAAAATGGGTAAATCGGGGCCAAATTTGGTCCAGAGCCCCAAAATCGGGGGGTTTAGCCCCAAAAAGGCATTGGGACCCCCAAGTGTGAGCCCAGCAATGGGGGGGGGGGGGAAGTGGGGAACAACACCCCCCCCGGAAGTGGGGGCTGCCCATGGACCCCCCCAAAATCAAGGGGGACCCCAAAAAAGGGTGATTTCACCCAAAAAAAGGGGGATTTCAGCACCAAAAAGGGGGATTTCACCCCCAAAAGTGGGACCCCCCCATACTCCTCTATAGGGGGACCCCCAAATCTTGCCCCCCCCCCGAAGCAGATGCTGCCCATGGAGAAGAGGGGACCCCCCCAAAAATCAAGGGGGACCCCAAAAAAGGGCGATTTCACCCCAAAAAAGGGTGATTTCACCCAAAAAAAGGGGGATTTCACCCCAAAAAAGGGCGATTTCACACCCCAAAAGGGGAAATTTCACCCCAAAAAGTGGGACCCCCCCATATCCCTCTATAGGGGGACCCCCAAATCTTGCTGCCCCCCAAAGTGGAGGCTGCCCATGGAGACAATGCCACCCCCAAAATCAATAGGGACCCCAGAAAAGGGCGATTTCACCCCAAAAAAGGGGGATTTCACCCCCAAAAAGGGGAATTTCACCCCAAAAAGTGGGACCCCCCCCATACCCCTCTATAGGGGGACCCCCAAATCTTGCCCCCCCGGAAGCAGATGCTGCCCATGGAGATGATGCCCCCCCCCAAAATCAAGAGGGACCCCAGAAAAGGGCAATTTCACCCCAAAAAAGGGGGATTTCACCCCAAAAAGTGGGACCCCCCCATACTCCTCTATAGGGGGACCCCCAAATTTTGCCTCCCCCCCCCCGGAAGCAGATGCTGCCCATGGAGAAGAGGGGACCACCCCAAAAATCAAGGGGGACCCCAAAAAAGGGTGATTTCACCCCCAAAAAGGGGGATTTCACCCCAAAAAAGGGCGATTTCACACCCCAAAAGGGGAAATTTCACCCCAAAAAGTGGGACCCCCCCATACCCCTCCATAGGGGGACCCCCAAATCCTGCTGCCCCCCGAAGTGGAGGCTACCCATGGAGATGATGCCCCCCCCCCCAAAATCAAGAGGGACCCCAGAAAAGGGCGATTTCACCCCAAAAAAGGGGGATTTCACCCCCAAAAGTGGGACCCCCCCCATACCCCTCTATAGGGGGACCCCCAAATCTTGCCCCCCCAGAAGCAGATGCTGCCCATGGAGAAGAGGGGACCCCCCCAAAATCAAGAGGTACCCCAGAAAAGGGCGATTTCACCCCAAAAAGGGCGATTTCACCCCCAAAAAGGGCGATTTCACCCCCAAAAAGGGGGATTTCACCCCAAAAAAGGGCGATTTCACACCCCAAAAGGGGAAATTTCACCCCAAAAAGTGGGACCCCCCCATACCCCTCCATAGGGGGACCCCCAAATCTTGCCCCCCCCCCAAAGTGGAGGCTACCCATGGAGATGATGCCCCCCCCAAAATCAAGAGGGACCCCAGAAAAGGGCGATTTCACACCAAAAAAGGGTGATTTCACCCCAAAAAAGGGGAATTTCACCCCAAAAGTGGGACCCCCCCCATACCCCTCCATACGGGGACCCCCAAATCTTGCCCCCCCGGAAGCAGATGCTGCCCATGGAGATGATGGCCCCCCCCCCAAAATCAAGAGGGACCCCAGAAAAGGGCGATTTCACCCCAAAAAAGGGCGATTACACCCCAAAAAAGGGGAATTTCACCCCAAAAGTGGGGCCCCCCCCCATACCCCTCCATAGGGGCCCCCCCACCTTGGCGAAGCAGGGGTTGGAGGAGAGGTTGTGCCGCACGGAATCCTTCCAGCCCTGGTACCCCCCCCCGAAGAACGGGAACAGGCTCCGGATCTCCTGGATGATCTGGGGGGGGGGGGGATCCCATTAATGGGGGGGGGGGCTGCACCCCAAAATCATCCCCATCCCCCCCCCCCTTTGGGTCACTCCCCCCCCCCAATGGAGGGGACAGTGTGGGGCTGGGTTTGCCTTTGGGACACCCCCCACACACACACCCCAAAGCAATGGGGACCCCCCCTCGATGCAATGGGGACCCCCCCCATAATGGCCCACACACACACTCAATGGGGACCCACCGTTGGAGACACCCCTTAGGGACCCCCCCAATGGGGATGCCCCAATTAATGGGGAGCCCCCCATAATGGGACCCCCCCCAATGGGGACCCTCCATTGGAGACACCCCCACACCCCTTAGGGACCCCCCCAATGGGGATACCCCAATTAATGGGGAGCCCCCCATAATGCCCCCCCCAATGGGGACCCTCCATTGGAGACACCCCCACACCCCTTAGGGACCCCCCCAATGGGGATGCCCCATTTAATGGGGACCCCATCACCCTATGGGTACCCCCCCATAACGGCCCCCCCCACCCAATGGGGACCCACCGTTGGAGACACCCCTTAGGGACCCCCCCAATGGGGATGCCCCAATTAATGGGGAGCCCCCCATAATGGGACCCCCCCCCAATGGGGAACCTCCATTGGAGACACCCCTTAGGGACCCCCCCAATGGGGATGCCCCAATTAATGGGGAGCCCCCCATAATGGGACCCCCCCCCAATGGGGACCCGCCATTGGAGACACCCCCACACCCCTTAGGGACCCCCCCCAATGGGGATGCTCCAATTAATGGGGACCCCCCCATAATGGGACCCCCCCCCAATGGGGACCCTCCATTGGAGACACCCCCACACCCCTTAGGGACCCCCCCAATGGGGATGCCCCAATTAATGGGGACCCCATCACCCTATGGGTACCCCCCCATAACGGCCCCCCCCACCCAATGGGGACCCTCCATTGGAGACACCCCTTTAGGACCCCCCCCCATGGGGATGCCCCAATTAATGGGGACCCAATCACCCTATGGGTACCCCCCCATAATGCCCCCCCCCCCCCTCAATGGGGAACCTCCATTGGAGACACCCTTTGGGACCCCCCCAATGGGGATGCTCCAATTAATGGGGACCCCCCATCTATAGGGACCCCCATAATGGGCCCCCCCAAAACCCAGTGGGGACCCTCCATTGGAGACACCCCCACACCCCTTAGGGACCCCCCCAATGGGGATGCCCCAATTAATGGGGACCCCATCACCCTATGGGTACCCCCCCATAATGGGCCCCCCCACACACCCAATGGGGACCCTCCATTGGAGACACCCCTTTAGGACCCCCCCAATGGGGATGCCCCAATTAATGGGGACCCCATCACCCTATGGGTACACCCCCCATAATGGGCCCCCACACGCACCCAATGGGGACCCGCCATTGGAGACACCCTTTGGGACCCCCCCAATGGGGATGCCCCAATTTTTGGGGACCCCCCCACAACCAAGGGCCCCCCCCACCCCAGGGACAACCCCATACCCAGTGGGACCCCCCCCTTATGGGGACCAACACAAGCACCCCCTGGGGACCCCCCAATCAATGGGAACCCCCCTTTCTCCCCCCCTTTCCCCTTTAGGAGCCCCCTATCAATGGGGGACCCCCCATTCCCCCCCCTTTCCCCCTTAGGACCCCTCCAATGCCCCCCACACACACTCTGGGGTACACCCATCAATGGGCCCCCCCCTTTCCCCTTTAGGACCCCTCCAATGGGAACCCCTCCATCCATGGGGACCCCCCCACAATGGGACCCCTTATCAATGGGGACCCCCCCTTTCCCCTTTAGGACCCTTCCAATGGGGACCCGTCCATCCATGGGGAGCCCCCCACAATGGGACCCCCCATCCATGGGGACCCCCCTTTCCCCTTTAAGACCCCTCCAATGGGATCCCCCCTCCAATGGGGACCCCCCCATCAATGGGGACCCCCCTTTCCCCTTTAGGACCCCTCCAATGAGGACCCCCCCTTTCCCTTTTAGGATCCCCCCCATCAATGGGGACCCCCCCTTTCCCCTTTAGGACCCCTCCAATGGGGACCCCCCCATCCATGGGGACCCCCCCCTTTCCCCTTTAGGACCCCTCCAATGGGGACCCCCCCATCAATGGGGACCCCCCCCTTTCCCCTTTAAGACCCCTCCAATGGGGACCCCCCCTTTCCCTTTTAGGATCCCCCCCATCAATGGGGACCCCCCTTTCCCCTTTAGGACCCCTCCAATGGGGAGCCCCCCCCCTTTCCCCTTTAGGACCCCTCCAATGAGGACCACCCCCTTTCCCTTTTAGGATCCCCCCCATCAATGGGGACCCCCCCTTTCTCCTTTAAGACCCCTCCAATGGGGACCCCTCCATCCATGGGGACCCCCCATCAATGGGGACCCCCCCTTTCCCCTTTAAGACCCCTCCAATGGGGACCCCCCCATCAATGGGGATCCCCCCTTTCCCCTTTAAGACCCCCCAATTTCCCCTTTAAGACCCCTCCAATGGGGACCCCTCCATCCATGGGGACCCCCCCATCAATGGGGACCCCCCCCTTCCCCCTTTAGGACCCCTCCAATGAGGACCCCCCCTTTCCCTTTTAGGATCCCCCCATCAATGGAGACCCCTCCTTACCCCTTTAAGACCCCTCCAATGGAGACCCCCCAACAATGGGGACCTCCCTTTCTCCTTTACGACCCCTCCAATGGGGACCCCTCCATCAATGGGGACCCCCCATCAATGGGACCCCCCTTTCCCCTTTAGGACCCTTCCAA